GCTTGCCATCACATGTAAATATGGATGAAAATTTATTTTCTGGTTGATTAGGAATGTGCACATCCTTTGGTTTCATGTGGGTAACAGATGTCTTGTGAGTAACAGATGTCTTGGCTTTTACAGACTAATTGGCAAAAAGGGGGGAAAGGGGCTAATTAAAGGGGTGGGAGGAGACACAAGAAAAGGGCAATCTTTCTTGTGGGGAAAACTCTAATCGACCTCCTTATTCTGGGTAATTACCTCCTTCTTCAACTTCATTTGCTATCCCTTTCCATATGACTCAAGTGCATTATAATGGGAAAATACAAAATAAAGAAACATAAGGCTGGACTACTGTCTGCTAACAGCCAGATTTATCCTGTCATGGAATATTCTAGTATAATTGACTCAATTAACATCAGTCTTTTAAAAAACAAAATATGAAAGCATAAGTCCAATCACTAAGGGCAACTTATGTTTTAATTGGCAGCACAAGGGTTCTATGTTGAGGGTGGTTGATATAAATATAATTTAATTATATACCAAATGTGACCATATAGTGGTTTGGTGGGAAATGAAAAATGCAAGACTGAATATGTTGTATGTTAGCCATACATCTTAGGTTCCTTTTGGTTTGCTGTTTGTTCTCTATCAATGCTATAGTACTGCCAGTTGACCTGGAATAAATGAGAACATTTAGCAGATGTTTGAAGCTATTATCAACAAATTCTCAGTTTTGTCAGTGTTTTCCATTGTGCATCATTTAAAGTAAGGTGGCATTTACTGTGTCTTAACTATGTCACCTCGGTCTGAATTAATCTTCTGATAGGTACATTTTACTTAAAACTGGAGGACATTATATATTATATAGCTTGTTAAACATGCAGTGAGTATCCACATTATTCCTTGGTAAGAGCTACTATGTAATCATTTTTATAAGGAGCTAGTAGTATTTCCAAGAAAAAATATCAGGTTAGATTCTTAGAGGTTCACACTTAATACAAAACTCAGACAATCCGAAAGGTAAGATTATTTATGTAGATGCAAACACATGATAATTGACTTTTATTTAACCACCTGTCTTCCCAGAAAATAAGTAGGTTTTTAAAAATATCAACTGTGTTTTAAAAGGTAATTAGGATAACACATATCAAAATCTCAATTGTCAATTATTAACTTCTTTCTGCTGTATTAGAATTATATTTTATTCAATTGCTAGAAAGGTGGGAAAATGTTTTATGGACTTTTAAAAAAAATTTTAAAAAATATATCAGCTTTGGTAGGGTAGAAACAACATTGCTTGAGTAGTCTAATAACTGCTACATTAATTCATTCACTTGATCTTTTTGAGCACTATTTCATTATCTATAAAATGGAGATGGTGACAGCTTAACCAACTGAGCCACCCAGGCGCCCCTGAGATGGTGACAGCTAACCCCCACACTTGCACTGGGAATTTTACATAATGATAAACACACATGAAACTAACATATGTTTAATTGTTGAGTGCTGTATGCTTGTCTTCCTTCAGTGGACCCTTATTCCATAGTTAGTTGCCTTGATTTCCATCCTAGGCTTCTCTTGGAAATAGAAAATTCGTAGACTTTGATGAGGAGTCTAGTAACAACTGGTTTGAGACTGTAGGTCAGACTTATTCTTCCCAACTTTAGCCCCTTAAAATATGAGGGTAAAGAATAACCACAGTGGATTAAGTTTCTTCAGTGTCAAAGAGTTTTCCGCATTTTGTAATTGTAAATTTCCATGAATTATAAAATCATAGAGTCATAAAATCTTGGCACTCTATGAGGCTTCAGGATTTGGGGATCCATTGCCGTGACCCCCATTCATTTCCCATTTGCAGAAGAAGGCACCGAGGCCCTGTAAGGTTAAATGTCTTCTTTAAACTCAATGAGCAACTTAATGGCAGAGGTAGGACTGAGACCTTCTTTTCCTGAGTTCTTTATTTGGACCATGGCCAGACACCACTCTGCTGTTAGACTATCTAGGTTCTAACCTGGGCTATTAAAAGAAGGAGAGCATTCAACTCATTCCACAAGTAGAAAGGGATGCATTTCTTTGTTACGCCTTTTAAATGGTCTTTACACCCTAGTTCATTCAGCCATTCCTTTATGGATTATGAATGTATTTCAATTGTTAGCATAAGACAACCAGCTTTACCTCCTCTAGTAGAAAAAGTCATAGTTACTAATGTTTACATAGTACTTCCTGTGTACCAGACATTGTTCTAAGAGCTTTATGTAGATTAATTTATTCTTCACAACAACAGTATGAGGAGGTATATTCTTCTTCTTTTCATCTTTTATATAAGGAAATGGAAGCATAGAGGGGACAAGTAATGGCCAAGATTCAAAGCTAGTATAACCAGATTTGAAGGCCTTTGTCAGATTGGAGTTGGAAATGTACTACAGAAAGATTTCACTGTCAGAAGGCACCTGAGTGAATGGATTCTCACTATATGAACTCTCTTTTATGCAAGGAAGGTGACTTAAAACCTTTTTCAAATCACCTGGATTTTATATATCTAGCTCTACTGAATCCTAATCAGTGTAGATGATAAGGTTTTACTGTAGCACATAAATACCAACAAATGAGTACAGTTTGACTGTTGAACATGTGTGTTAGGGGCACCAACCCCTCACACAGTTGAAAATCTACTTAATGTTTGACTCTGCCAAAACTGTACTAATAACCTATGGTTGACTGGAAGCCTTACCAATAACATAAGCAATTAACACATTTTGTATATTACATGTATTATATACTGCATCTTACAATAAACTACAGAAAATAAAACGTTATTAAAATCATAAGGAAGAGAAAGTACATTTAGAGTACTGTACTGCATTTATTGAAAAGAAATCCATTTATAAGTGGACTGGTGTGGTTCAAACTCATGTTGTTCAAGCAAGGTCAACTGTAGATTTGTTTATATTAATCACTCTTGGAATAAATGGAGGAGTGAGCTATTTTGCTTGGTCCAATGTTGTTAACAAAAGAGTATTTAATTTTATGACTGTATTTCTTTTAGCCCATAGTAATAAACATGTTTATAGAGAGGGGAGGGTATTTTACCAATCAAGAGAAATTACTAAAGAAAAGGTAGTTTTTGTTGATCGATATGTAATTTGTTCTTTCTTTTTTTTTTTTTAATTTTTTTTTTTTTTAAAGATTTTATTTATTTATTTGACAGAGAGAGAGACAGCGAGAGAGGGAACACAAGCAGGGGGAGTGGGAGAGGGAGAAGCAGGCTTCCCGCCGAGCAGGGAGCCCGATGTGGGGCTCGATCCCAGGACCCTGGGATCATGACCTGAGCCGAAGGCAGACGCTTAACGACTGAGCCACCCAGGCGCCCCGTAATTTGTTCTTTCTTACACACCTAGTTATGAAGGAATATTATCCATATTTGCTCTTATATTGGTATTTGAAGTTGAGTATAAAAATTGTCATTTATGTGTCAAATATTGTAGAGTTATAACATCAGCTCCAATTTCATTAATTAGCAGTTTAAAGACTGATCTCAGAAAAAATTATTATAAAACTTGGTACATTCAGATAATTGTGGGGAGCAATTATGATTTAACAGAAAGCTCATTAGAATAATATTACAAAAGTCTATTTAGTGTTGTGCTATTTAAAAACAATGTAATTAAATAAAATTTGAATAAATTGTCACAACCACTGAACTTCATGCTGACAGATATTTTACATCAGAACAGACGAATACTGTGTCACTTGGAACATGTGAATTCATGTGTGTTGGGTGTGTGTGTGTGTGTGTGTGTAGTAAGTGGGGAAGGTTGAGGAAATTTGTGCAGTGGACAGATTAGCAAAGTCTAATTTTTGAAAGTTTTATTGCTGTAGATTTATTAAATTTTACTGTTGATGTGTTTTGCTTCATGGAATAGATGTATTCATTAAAGAAAATTGCCTGAAAGTCATGGTATGTGTTCAAAAGACTCTTTTTTTAAAGGTTTTATTTATTTATTTGAGAGAGAGAGAGCATGAGAGGGGTGAGAGTCAGAGGGAGAAGCAGACTCTCTGCTGAGCAGGGAGCCTGATGCGGGACTCGATTCCGGGACTCCAGGATCATGACCTGAGCCGAAGGCAGTCGCTTAACCAGCTGAGCCACCCAGGCGCCCCCCAAATGACTCTTATTCTACGATGTATTTCTTAGTGAAGAGGGGCAAGTGTGATGGCTCATTAATGCCTTAAAGGTTCTAAGACAATAGCAATAATACGAACATATCTTCGAATAGAAAGGTAAAGAGTCACACTGGTTTTGTTTTTTGTTTTTTGTTTTTTTTTAGAGCTGTAAATTTCTCTGGTTAGTTTTGTGTTTAGCATATTCACTTAAAAGTTGAAGGGAGAAAGGGTAAATGAACAGAGCACACTGGGTGGTTTTGTTACCCAGATCTCTAACCACACTTTACAAGAGATGCTGGACAGCGCCCCTTGATCGCTGTGTTACCGTATCCCAGTGTTTCACGGGAGCTGTTGATTTAGGAAAAGGCCAATTGAGTTTAAAGAAGGAGGGACTTAGACCATGGCTGAGAAAATTGTTTTAAAATATGGTAGCAACTGAGTAAATACAGAAAAATACAAGCAATAGTAAATGAAGGTTGGGCCACTGGTTTAATAAAATGCATGACTGAGGGGTACTAAGAGCAGTAGCTTATGTTTATCCAGTGCTGTTCATTTAAACCCTTCCTCGGGCGCCTGGGTGGCTCAGATGGTTAAGCGTCTGCCTTCGGCTCAGGTCATGATCTTAGGGTCCTGGGATCGAGTCCCGCATCGGGCTCCCTGCTCCTTGGGAGCCTGCTTCTCCCTCTGCCTTTCTCTCTCGCTCTGTCTCTCATGAATTAAAAAAAAAAAAAAAAAAAAAAAAAACTTTAAACCCTTCCTCAATTTTCATTAAGATTGAATTCTTATATTCAAGTATGATGAAATAAATTTGCACGGTATTTTCTATATCTTAAAACTTTTTACTTTACACTTTCCAGGATTGAAATGTGTATGTCTTTTGTGTGACTCTTCAAACTTTACCTGCCAAACTGAAGGAGCATGCTGGGCTTCAGTGATGTTGGCCAATGGAAAAGAACAGGTGATCAAGTCCTGTGTGTCTCTCCCAGAACTGAATGCTCAAGTCTTCTGTCATAGTTCCAACAACGTTACCAAAACGGAATGCTGCTTCACAGACTTTTGCAACAACATAACGCTGCACCTTCCAACAGGTAAGGCATTCCTCTTTGTTCATTCCAAATTTAGTTTTACTAGTGGGAAATTATAAGCATGGTAGAAATCAAGGTGTTGGTTGTTACTTTAAATAAGAAAATCCGTTTTACAGTTCTCTCCTTTTTTTGACTGGTGACATACTCTAGAGCCTAGATGAGGTTGATTTTTTGTTGTTGTTGTTGTTTTAATCGCACAAGGCTGTCAAAACATTGACAACAGCATAATAATTTTGAAGACATTTGTCCATGTGAATTTTATTTTTTGAAGTGGTTAATGGACCTAAAGTTAAATGTCAATTTGTATGGATTCTTGTGAAGGAAAGAAATTAAAACGTATACCAAGAAAAAAAAGAATAAGGAGCAAAACTAAAAGTGGTAGATTGCCAACTTTTATGGAGACAAAATCTTTTTTTCATGGGCACTTTCTTCATGTTTTCTTTGCCTGCCTGCACTCAGGTGCAAGCCCTCATGAGCAGAAAGATGGAGGTAGAATGGAATGTAACTCTTCATTATTGTGCAGATAAATTCCCGCCTCCCCCCCCCCACCAATTTCATGGCATTTTATGTTAATTTACAAGACATTGAAAATCTTAATCTCGTTTTTTTTATCGGTAATTTGGAGTTTGAAACTTTGGGGGTTTTTAAGGGGCAAGTAATTAAAATCACAAGCTAATTTATGACATGAAAGTATTCTGTGGCGAATTTTCTTTAATGTGTATTAATTCAGTAATAATTCAGTGCTGATTGATATGTTAGTATCTACACATGGATACATAGTCTTCCTTACAAAGTAACATTTTAAGGTACCATTATCTAATCTCAGGTGTTCCTCTATCACCATATGAATATTCTACTATAGTATTTTTAACCTACTATTTTTTCTCACAAATTCACTGTCCCCCTTTTCTACTGAAGAACAATTATTTTATGCAGAAACTTGGCATCACTACCACAAATGAAAAACCAGTTTACTTACCATAAGTAGAAGACAACTATGTACTTAAACAAACATAGCTACTGCATTCCAGTTAAGTATTTTGTATTTTCTTTTTGTTTAAAAGAGAGAAGAATGTGATGTTCGAGACATACTAGCACAAAATAAGGCTTTTTGATAATCAGAAAAACTAAGAGAACTAGAGAAAAAATTATCGTGTAATTCAATGTTATTTAAATCATGTTTGCTGACCACTCCAAATCATCTCAAGAACGCTTAGAATCATTTCATGTGCCGCCACTGGGACTTGTCCCAATCTTTGGGAAACACTGTTCTAAAACATTACACTACTGATTGCAACCTCAGAAGTCATACCTGGCATATTTCATCCCCCAAGGTTACTTGCAGTCTTGATTTTTAGACCACACTTATTCTCCCTGTCTCAGATTCCATAGGCTTCCTTGGTTTGGTGGTGATCTGGTATTTATTCTGGATACTTTTCTTCCCTTATATTTTCTCCCATGGTTATCTGTGGGCCCGAGACACCCTGAAATGAAGGCTCCCTATATCTGATGCTGGTCTTCCCATGACCAAGATCCAGAAATTAAGGAGGGGGAGCTAGGTCTGCATTAGCCTGTGGCTGTGGCATCTTTGAGGGGGCTTCCCAGTAATGAATTACCCACAAGACCACATGCTGCCAGTCAGTATGGACACAAGAGAGTACTTTGACAGCAACGAAAGGTCTTAGAGGACAAAGTGGTTCATATGCAGTTGGGCAAATTAAAGATACTTAGTGCAGCTAGAATGTGGGTCCTTTCCAGCCTAACTATACACTCTAACTACTGAGAAGCTTATGTTCTACCCTTAAGTCCACGTAGGAACCAGTATTTTTTTTTTTTTTATGCAAATGATTTTTTTTTTTCAATTTTTTTTTTATTCTTATGTTAATCCCCATACATTACATCATTAGTTCTAGATGAAGTGTTCCATGATTCATTGTTCGTGCACAACACCCAGTGCTCCATGCAGAACGTGCCCTCCTCAATACCCACCACCAAGCCAACCCATCCTCCCACCCCCCTCCCCTCTAGAACCCTCAGTTTGTTTTTCAGAGTCCATCGTCTCTCATGGTTCGTCTACCCCTCCGATTTCCCCCCCTTCATTCTTCCCCTCCTCCTACCTTCTTCTTCTTCTTTTTTTCTTTCCATAAATTGCATTATTTGTTTCAGAGGTACAGATCTGAGATTCAACAGTCCTGCACAATTCACAGCGCTTAACAGAGCACGTACCCTCCCCAGTGTCTATTACCCAGTCACCCCATCCCTCCCACCCCACCCAGGAACCAGTATTTTTTAAAAATCAATTTTATTGAGGTATAATTTAGATATAATAAAATGCACACATTTGAGCATATGGTTTAGTAAGTTTTGACACGCACACACCACCACTTTTCCATCGCCTCAGGATATTCACAATCAATCCCCACTTTGACCAGGGATGGACTGATCTATTTTCTATCACTGTAGACTAGATTTACTTTTCCCAGAGTTTCACAAAATGGGGGCCTTATGGAAGATATTATTTTGCCTTTGACTTCTTCTACTTAGCGTGTTTTTGAGATTTATTCATGTTGCGGGTGTATTAGTAGCTTGTTCCTTTCTTACTGCCGAGTGATATCCCATTATATGGATATATTACAGCTGTTGCTGTTTTACCCATTCACCCACTGATGAGTACTCAGGTCATTTCCATGTGGCGGCTGTTAACAAAGGTGCTATGAACATCTATGTACAAGTTTTTGGATATATATATATATATTTTTTTTTTTGTGTGTGTGTGTGTGTGAGAAAATACTTAACAGTGGAATTATAGGGTCATATAATAAATATCTATTTATTTTACAAATATAATCTCCCAAGTAGTTTCCAAACTGTACTGTTTTACTTCCCCAACAGAAATGTATGATAGTTCCAGTTGGTCCCTATTTTTATAGTCACCTGGTATAATCAGTTTTTTTTTTTTTTAATTGTAGCCACTCAAGTGATTGTGTAGTGGTATTTCATTGTGGTTTTTGTTTGCATTTCCCTGATGATCAATGATGTTCAGTTATTTTTAGGTGCATATTGAACAGTTGTGTATCTCCCTTTATAAAAGTGTCATATCTTTTCACATTAAAAAAATTGAATTTAAAACTTCTTTATATATTCTGAATACAAGTCCCTTATCAGATATGTGTATTCTGACAATTTTCTCCCATTCTGGGGATTGCCGTTTTGTTTTCTTGAATGTGTCTTTTGCAGAGTAGATTAAAATTTGATGAAGTATATATTTTTATTGTTTATATGTTTCATGTCTTAAAAGAGGAAGTCTTTATCTATCTAGAGGCCATAAATATTCTCTTTTACATTTTCTTCCAGAAATTTTAACATTTCAGCATTTACATTTAGGCCTATATTCAATTTAAACTTAATTTTTGTTACTATGTGAGGTTTAGGTGAAATTTTATTTTGTATATGGATCTGAAGTTGTTCCAACATCATTTGTTGAAAAATCTATCCTTTCAATTACCTTGCCACTTTGATTGAACATAAAGTGGCCAAAAATATATGTGGGTGTATTTCTGGCCTCGTTATTCTGCTCAAGTGTTCTGTATGTCTATATTTATGTCACTATCCAACTTTCTTTATTATTGTAGCTTTATAGCAAGTAATAAAATCAGGTCGTGTGACCTCTCCAACTTTGTTCTTTTTTAAAATTGCCTTGGTTATTCTGAAGCCTTTGCATTTCCATTTAAATTTTAGAATTAGTTTGACAGTTTTTGCAAAAACATATGCTGAGATTTTTATTAGATTGAGTTGAATATATAAATTATTTGAAGAAAATGGTCATTTTAACAATATTAACCAGGAATATAGCACGTTTTCCCATATATTTATTTTTCTTCAGTTACTCTTAGCAAAGTTTCATAGTTGTCAGAGAACGGGTTTCATATGTATTTCCTGGAATGTATCTCTAAATATTACTGTTTTGGGATGCTATTGTGAATGGTATTTTTAATAGGTCAACATTAATTGTCAGTATATGAAAATAAAATTAATTTTGTATATTGACCTTATTTCCCACAAGCTTGCCAAAATGAATTATATTAGTTCTAGTAGCTCTTTTAAAAATTCTTTGTCGTTTCCTACATACACAATCATCTTATCTGTGAATCTAGGCAATTTTACATCTTCTATTCTGATCTGTATGCATTTTATTTCTTTTTCTTGCTTTTTGCACTGGCTGGAACAGCTAATATGATGATGAATAGGAGTGGTAAGAGTGAAGATCCTTGCCTTTTTCCTGGTCCTAGGAGTGAATGCACGCCCTCTTTTACCATTAAGTATGATTTTAGCTATAGGTTTTTGTAGATTCCTATTATCAATTAATGAGATTTGCTTTTATTCCTAGTTGGGAGAAGGTTTTTTATCCTATATGAATATTAAATTTTTCAAGTATTTTCATGAATGTATTGAGATTATAGCATACTTTTTCTTCTTCAGTCTATTGATATGATGGAACAGGGAAGATATGTGTTGTCTAGTCAATAATTATGTCTACAAAAAAATGCTATGTAACATTTATTGAATTAAAATTTCTTTACTTAAACTAAGAATTTTTGTCTTTTAGTGACATTGTATGGTCAACGCACATGAAATTGAACAGGATTGTATGTGTAGTCCTCTTGTGTCGGGTTGTTCTGTCCGTGAGGCAGCACTAAATGGTTATTAGCTGTATTTGGAACAGCAGCTGTTTGGGAAGGAACTTCCAGGCTGAGCCCTGACACAGTCGGTGCCAAGAACTCCGCTGTTTTTGTGTCATCAGCGAGTGTGATTGCTATCCATCCCCTGCTCTGCCTAGTGGAGATTTATTAATTTCAATTGTGGTTACATATATATGAAATATATAAAAGCACTCTGGAGAGTAAACAGTGTGACATTTCTACAGTGTTAATGCTCTGCATTACATTGGTGGGCAAGAAAGAGAAGAAAAGGGAGGGAGGTCACCTAGAAGAGATTGGAGAAAA